AATGGAAAAATGCCCATAAAAACTGCAAAACACAAAATGTGAAACTGCATATTTGCATTTATTTCTACATATGAACATCCATACCAAATTTGGTGAAGATTCATCTACAGGGAGCAAAGTAATGGCAAAAAATGCAAAAATGCCCAGAAAAACTACAAAACTTAAAATTTGTATTTACGCCCACATGGATCTAATGAACCTCCATACCAATTTTGGTGAAGATCCATCCACACCTTGCAAAGTAGTTACATGGACATAAAACAAACAATACTATTATATTTATATAGAATGATTAATAAAAGTCTCCTAAAAATATTATCATGGTTAATTAAAATTTACATTATGTCTTTACTTATAAATTTTCAGTGTTATATCACTAAAATGTAATCAGTGTTGAATGTTTTGCATATAAACATATAATTATTTCCATAGTGTACTGGACTGACCTGACTAACACTGTTAATATCCCACGAGCACTGAGCCTCAGGAGAATGTTTATCATCTTCATTTCTCAATAAATATTCTGATGGGAGATCATTGTTGACTAGATTAAGATAGAATACATTCTGCAAAGGAACAAAAATATGATGATATTAACTGAAAGTAAAGATCTCTTTTACTTTGCAGCAAGTATTTCAATTGAATTTGCATTAATTAAAATATTTCAAATTGTACAGATATGTTTCTTAATATCAGAGTTTCAATATTAATAAACTACATGTAGTTTTATACTCTCAGGATATGGTGATGTATAAAAATGTGATGCTGATATATATATATATTGTATCATTGTATACAGTTCCTTTTCTTCATTTTCACAGCATAATGTAGGTGCATATAGGTACAGTTACGGGTTTAGCTCTAGGCACGAATAACAAAGAATTTCCTGTGATTGCAAATTCCACAATGAGTGATGAAGTATAATAACAATGTATATATATATTCAACCAGGAAGCAATCTTACTTTTGTTTATAAAATCATATATGTTCTGATCTTTCTATACAAATAAACAAAAATGGGATATTCCAAGTAAAATAATTCTTTTAAAAAAAAATGCATGCTACATGAATACATATAATAAAGCTGAAAGTATTTTAACGCCTACTCTAGCAGCATTTATTGTTGAAGAACTAAAATTATCGGGTGCCCAAAAATCTATGAAAAAACTTCAAATTTGTAGAAGCCATATTTGGATTAACCATTTATTACTTTTTTTTCATACTTTGCATAAAATCTATACAAATAAGGTATCAAACCAAAAACTAAGAACAAATGGTAAAAACATATGCTTAGCAAATAAGCAATGAATTTAAAACCTAGTTCAAGTTAGAGAATCACTTCTTTAAGGAAAAAAAACCAAAAACACAAGTACAATGGCCACACAAACTGAGTCAAAAATAAAAAGGTTAATTTACATACACAAACAGTAAAACTACTTCACTAAAAAAAATTATAAGTCAATTTCAGATATGCCAATCTTAACTGATATTAAGTAGGAATACCAGCTTAACACAAAAAAAAATAAGGAATCTTAGCAGAAAATAGGATTGATTTTATTTTCCATGAACAATAAAATCTGTAAAATAAAGCATACAAAATACATTGTTTCATTTTTATGGATGATTTAATGCACATTCAGTATGCAGTATTTTCAGGCTTAAATTTCTGCAACATCTATGCTTGCCAAGAGCTCCCTATTGTAACATTCACCTTTAGTTTACTCTGTGAATATTAAACTTACCTGTCGTTTGTGCTTTTATAGTTTTTACTATTTATTTTCATGATTTTGTGGGTATTTTAGTGTTACATTTTCCCGCTTAAAATGCCAATGTTTTGTACAGCTGTACTGTTCATTGATGGCACTCTGTGCAAGATATAAATTCTACACCCTTAGTCAAAAACAATTTAATTTAACCTTATGTTCATAGATTCAAACTCATATCCCCTAAAGGTCAGTGCTCTGTGCAGGTACACCGCTCACACTACCCTTGGTATGGCCCTGATATTTTGTATGAGGAGGCAATTTCTTTGTATAGTTGTTGTGTTTGATTTTTTTTCTTATTTTCACAATTAATTTACTTTTTGGGTATTCTTTAAGTAGTAAGCTTACCTAGGATAATTTTTTTTGTCTATTTCTTTGTTGTAAGGCTAGTATTCTGATATGGAATTCTTTCTCCCTTGACTTTTTTGGACATACATTGTCTGCTTGATGGCTTTCATTTTGAAATGTCTCAGATGAAACTAACATAGCTGTCCAAACTTTTGAATGGTCTTACTATTGATATGATATCTGATTTGGTGATATTTTATTCAGTATCAAGAAAGTGTTTACATTTGTTTGAGTACAGTTGTAAAAGTACAAACAATCAGATGGCTATGATCTTAATGGCATCATTGTTTCATTTCTCCCCTATAACATATTTAATAGATCTTGTGAAACAAAATGCACAAAATCCAAAAAAAAATTAAAAAATCTGAATTTAAGGGGTATGATTATAATGGCATAATCTAGGGTTAAAAATCTGAACGATTTTGCCAAAGTATGAAACAAATAACCAAGAATCACCAACAGTTTCAAAAATTGGCCAGTTTTCAAGCAACTGTTTATTATTTATGTATGGTGTTTTGAGTTGTCTTTTACTCATTACATTAAACCCGTATTCATATAGGATTTCAAGAATATTTAAAAGGATAAATTAGTAGCATCAATGCACCATATTCTTCAAATCCTATATAAATATAGATTCACCGTGGTGAGTAAAAGACAACATATGAGCTCCCCCACTATATGAAACCCAGTTTTATGTTTTTGATTTGTTCTTGTTCTGAATTACTGATAAGAATGCAACTCTCTAAGATCAGTGACAAGTGAACAGTCGAAATGATAAGATTGGGCTTCATATTTATTTTTAGGTTATTTGAGAATTTTGTTGTATTACAATAATTTGAGTAAAAAAAAAAAATATTTCAAGATATTCCAAACATTAATTGAATTATTATGTATGTGATATAAGTCAACCATGAAATCTTTAGTAATTTCTTTTAAGGAGCAATAGTTTCAAAGAAGATGTGGTCATATCATAGAGTTGTGTTTGTTTTACTCACTTTAATTTGTTTAAAGTATGTTAAACTAAGATAATTTTTTATTTATCCTTATATCTTGTTTCCATACGAATAACAATGTGGCAATATAGTGAATTAAGGTTTAGGAATCATTCATTTTTTAAAGGAATAATAGCTCATATTTCCAACAAAGAGGACAACTGATCTTCTCATTTCTTAGTTTTTCAAATAATTCTGTTTTACCTCTCACAACTTTCTCCTTTTACATTTGGTGAAGCTTTCCCATTCCTTCTTAATGACATTAGCCTACCAATTTGTCATACAAGCTTTATGTCCTGCATTGACTTTGATGAAGAAAACCACGAACTTTCAAAATGTCAGAGACAGTGTCTAACATTTTTCTTGTAATTATTATAATACTTTATAAACCAGTGTAGATAATAAATATTTTAAACAGATTAAATGCACTTGTTTTTGATATTTTAATTATGTAAAATAAAAAATTTCCTTTTGTTAAGTACAAATTTATATTTCTTCTCCTAAATATTTACAGTCATTTATTATCATAAATTTTTACAAAAACGTTGTTGCAATTACATGGAAATTTTCATTATCAATGACTCTTGGATGAGATCCTTCAGGATGGCATATGGATGAATCTGGAAATGATCATCTCCAACTATGTTCATCATCTGGCTATTTCATCTCCTGCTGGATTTTGATTCTCTCCTGTTGCTGTTCTTCAATAAAACTACATACTATCTTTAAGAAGGGTATGTTTTATTTCTTCAGCACCATTTTTTCTATTATATGATTCTGCCAGTTGTCTGGTGTTGCCTAACAGGGTATGCTTATTTCCAAAAATTTGCATTGGGCCAGGGGTAATGGAAAGTGCTTACTCCATCTGACCTGAGTGTAACATTGCCCACCAGTGAGATTGGGTTTTCTGCAAGACCACTAGAGGTATCCTCATGGTATTAAAATTACTCAATTGCACAATCTAGACCATGGACTATCATGGAAAAAGCCAGCACCAGGGAAGTAAATGCCCACTTCTTTGGTTTGTGTTTGCCAGCTTTTAATGCACTGTCTCCAGTATAAAACTTTTCTGGATCTCCCTACTGCAAATTCCTCCACTCTCCAGTTATTCAAGTGGAACATGGAAGACCCTTGCCATTTACCAGTTCTTATCCACTTGGGTAGTGGACTTTGGAAGGTTTCTCACTGATTGTGCACAGCACCGGTGGGAAGTAGGGTGGTGGTGACACTCTCTGTGTAGTGTGGGTTACCCCTCAAAAATATAGTGTGCCTGCCTTCCTCCCTCCTACAGCAAGATTCTGTCCAGTTGAGTCAAGGTAAAACATACCATATGGCCTGATTGCATTTTAACTGCACTACACTTTTTGGCTCACTCACCACTTGTTTGCAGTTTCTTGGTTGGTCATGATAAACTTCTATCCATCCCTGTGAAGCTTGGGGTTCTTTTGCCTTTCCTTCTAGGCAAAGAGAATACCCTGGTCAAGACGAGATGTTGTCTGCCACAGATGTGCTTCTATGAAGCCCCCTGCCATTGGGTATAACAATTCATGAGATTACCCTCGGGCATTTTTTTAAAGGGAGCTTATCAGATTTAATGTTTGCACCAGCCCCTCCACCACTTAATTGTGGTATTCTAGCTATTCTACATGTAGAGGTGAGGTATTGTCTCAGAAGTTAACACTTTCCTCAACTGAAAATGTATTTCTGAGAGATGCTTACCTATTCACATCTTCCCACCCATCCTCCTCATTTTCAGTGCACTTTCTTCTAGCTTTATCTAAGTTATTTCAAGTGAAAGTGCATAAGGGGAGTTACTGTGCAGGGAGGTTGTGTTATCTTCCTATCACAAGAGAACTATCATTGCATGATAATGTCATCATGCATTAGCACAGTTCAAGTTAAACACATGAACACATGATTTTGAAATGGGAGTTAGCTCAAAGCTAGTGGCATACTTGCTCTGTTAGGTGGCTTAATGTCAAGAACTGAAACAACAATAAAAGAAACATTGTATTAGGTCTTCAAGAAATTGATGTCGCGTTTGGAACACTTTCATTAACCAACCCCACAAAAACGTACATCAAGTATAATAGTTAAATGAACCATCTAAACGTCATGTTAGTGTAATCTATATAATGTGTAAAATCTAGTATACTCTAATCCCTTATAGTGATGGCACATGACAAGACACACATTTGGCATGTAATGCTGTTTCAATACAAGAAGGGAAACAATGCCTCTGTAGCCATAAAGAATATCAAAGAAGTTTATGGAAATGTTTTGAGTGTTCATAAGTGTCAACGATGGTTCAGCAAATTTCGTTCTGGTGACTTTAGGCTTAAAAACTGTGATGGCAGAGGCCTACATGTTGGAATTTATATTGATGCCCTGAAGACACTTGTTGTCTGGCTAGTAATGCTCATGAACATTTTTGGACAGAATTGTCACTGGTGATGAAAAATGGATTCTCTGTGCGAATATTAAATCCCAAAAACAATGGCTCAGTCCTAGACAAAATCCACTTCCAACCCCAAAACTTGGACTCCATCCGCTTTGCATTTGGTGGGATATCAAAGGAGTAACTCATTTCAAACTCCTTAATCCACAGCAAACTGTCAATGCAGAGATCTATAGTCAGCAACTGGAACATTTAAATCAAAGCTTTCATCAGAAATACCCTTCACTCGTCAATCAAAAAGGTGTTCTTCTCCATGCCAATGCATGTTCACATGTGGCACATTTTATGCAACACAAGATTATGGAGTTGGGTTGGGAAGTTCTCCCCCACCCACCATATTCTCCAGATATGGTACCATCAGATTAGCATCTTTTTCATTTGCTGCAACACCATTTTAATGGAAAAACATATGCAAATGTGTAAGGTGTTAAAGAGGACTTTGACATGTTTTTTGCTTCAAAGCCAAGTGATTTCTTTAACCATGGCATTAACAACCTGATTGTAAGATGGAAAAGCATCATCAATAAGAATAGAGATTATTTAATTTAATGAATGTTTTGTTCTGATATACAAGTTGTTTAGGTATTTTCATCTGAAAAAAAGTGACATTAATTTCTTGATGACCTAATATAATAAATAGCTACATATTTAAACAGCTCCATCTGCTAACACACACACACACACACACATTTTCGTTTTGTTCTTAAGCATAAAACTACACAATGAGCTATTTGTGCTGTGGCCATATGTATCAAAACAGATTTTTAGTGTTATAAGTCTACACACCAGACTTACTGCTGAGCCACTGGGGACAAATCACTACAAACAACCTGAAATTGTAGGCTACAGCATAGCACAATTTATCAAATATTCACAATAAAAAAACAAACAGAAAAAATCTTGATGCAATTTAAGAGCAGATTCAAAACTCATTACCCCTTAAATTACTATTCATCTTAGATTTTTTATAGCATACACTAAGTTAAAGATTTTAAACTTACATAGACAGATGCACACATGATCAAGCACTATTATGTGGTAAAATTTTAGTAAACATTACAAGACCTTTCTGTACAAAAATTCAAAATTTTTAATATGTATTTTTACTAAAGATTTGTCTGGAAATTTAAAGAGTCATAGTATGACTCCAAATCTGAAATGTCTAAGTACATATTGATTTTCATGTTAAAATGTTTTTTTTTTCTTTATACAGTTTTCTAATTTAATATGCATAACCTTTATAACCTCCTAAACAAATACCAAATTCTTTTTTAAGTAAAACTCTATTTTCTATGATTTTTTCTCTACCCTAACACTGTATGTGCTAGTTCCACCTTACTTACCTCGTCAACACCATAAAAAAATCTAAATTACTGTTTTTGTTCTTTCTAGAATGACTGCAGCTTGTAACAGAAAATTTCAATTATTTATCCTGAACAGCCTGAAACTCTAACAGTTTGTGTGTTTTTTATTTATTACTCTTATTGTTTTATTGCTCTTTTAAATCATGTCTAATTACTAAACACACATAAAAACTTATAAACATTAGGCAAGCAAATAGCTTAAGTTACAGTAAAACAAAGTATTGAATTATGCAATGCACATGCAGTAAGTGCATGTGCATACTTCAGAAAGACATTTTATTTACTAAAATCTTTTTTAAGTTATGTTTTCTTATCTAACCTAATAAGTTTATAATTTTTAATTTTAGTTAAAATGCATTAAAATACCTGCCTAACTTGATTGAAGCAAACTTGGAGATAGTAGCTTTGAATCTGTAGGCCAAATAATTCAAAAGTTGTTGTGAGAATGAACTAGCCTATTATGTAATTCAGTAAATTAAAATCTTTTATTTCTACTGGTTATAAATACTGTCTTGGCAAACATTAGAGAAAATTACTGACAATTATTTGAAGGATAGTATGTAAAAGGAGGGTGTGGCATATGATTTTGACTTTCTGGCTTATGTTGCTGTAAATAAAAATGATTTGAAGGCTATAAAATTATATTATGTTTCAGCAATATCTATACTATAAATATGCATTAAAACTTAGAAGCTCAAGTAGGGGTGGAAAGAATATATAACTTGGGCAATTCAGAGTAACAAATGTGAGATGACAGAGAAGTGAAAATTGTGAATATATTTAAGTATATCTTTTTCAAACTAAGAAATTAAAATTCATATAATATGAAAAATTTGATTTATTAAATATGTTTTGATGCCAAGTTTATTGACATACATCAATAATAAACTAGTTTTATTAAATTTTGAATGTAGTTTTGTAACAAGGTTGTGACATGCTCACTTTAACCTACCCATATCCAGAGGTTTTAAGACCCTGAGTGGTGGAGCAGTACATCTGTGGACTTATATTGCTAGACTTATACCACGTTTCGATACCCGTGGTGGGCAGAGCACAGATAGTCATTTGTGGAGCTTTTTGTTTGATAACAAACAACAATGATAACCAGAGGGTTAAAAGTGCTTAGGTTTCTGCATCATTTTTTGTTGAAACATATTGTTTTTCTTTTAACTCTTTTGAGACGGGTCACAGGTGAAAGGCTATATCATTTCATTTGTTGACTCGCATTCAAAATTTTAATGAACTACTATTTCATGAATTTATGTTAATAAATTTGGTAGATTATAATTCAAATTTTAGTACTATACATTACTCAATTTCTTAATTTAAAAGTAAATATTACAAAACACAAATAAACATCAATTTCTGTGTTTGTCACGTGATATGTTGAATGCATCACTGGTTCAAATTAGATGTTTGTGATGTCAAAATACTAAATCTATAGTTTTGTACAAATTAGAAACTCAAATTACAGATATTGACAAACTAGAATATAAAATAAGAGACTCTTATCTTTTCAATTAGCTAAGATATTGCTCATGTAATAAATCAATCACAGTGGCACCCCACTCACCTATTTCCATTTTTGGAAACACTCCCTTATAAACACTTACTTCTATATATGACATGAATAACCACTCAGAAGCTCAGAATGTCCCCCTAGTGGCTTTCTCAGCCATTTTAAATTCTTAGGATGCCATTTCTTTCTTTTGAACCAAGATTTCAAGGAGGTAGGGTGTGTCTTTAGTTTGCTTAAAATTTCATATATTTTTAGACTAAAATACATCTTAGTTACTAAGCTTGATAAATTATAGTAGACTACTGGTGTAGTAATTTATGATTTTTTAGTTATTCAACTGTATATATATATAAAAACCTAAAAAAAATTTTGTTTCATATCCTCCACGTGTAAAATTTTTAAAGGCTTAGCAACCTACGTAAAGCAGCAACTGAGTACAAAGGTTGTAATTAGGAGAGATAATTGATTGCTTTACTTCTTTATTTACTGTTCTGTGTTTTAATAAAAATAAGTTTAAGGACTATTTTTACTTCAAAATAGCAATAATCTATCTACATATATAATGTATAATAATTGAAATGTAACTGTATTTTACAAAATACTAGTCTACTAAAACACAAGTTACTTTGTACAGACAAAAGGTCAGTTTTATGTTATTTGATATGGTAACATTAGTGCATATTTTTTTAAAATACCTAAAAGCACACAAAGATCTAAAGGCAAACACAAAAGCTGTTTATATCATTTTATTTCACAAAACAAAAACTTTGACAACAACAAATAAGAAAAGCTTACCTCTGAAGTTGATACTTCAAATGGATTCAATGTTTCTGCCTGCAAAATAAGTAATAAAGTATTTAAATTACCGAGAACACAAGCTGATTCACTTTGAATAAAGAAAAGTAAACCATTATAACATTTAGCTGGAGTAAGGAAAACTGAATTAAATGAACTATCCTTTAGAAATGAATAAAGATATTAAATTTGGTGGTAAAATAATTTTCAAATTAGAAAACGTAAGTAAGATTATATTCTATGGTATGATGTACACATAATAATCTATATTAGTATATTAAAATCATAAAGTTACAGCAGGAAAATAAATCAACCTGTATTAAAACCTTCTGTTGATCTACTTCTATGATAAATTATTTCTATTTAGACTTAAACCTATGGTATATCAGAGGTGAAAAAACATTCAAGTACAAGACATATTTTACAATTAGTATTATGTACAGAATACTACTACAGAAAAGTTACTGTAAGATATACAATAAAACTAGTGGAAGAAGAGAGTTAAGAATAAACATTTTTTTTTCTGTTTGTGACAAAGATTTACTTGCATTTTTCTAATGTAAATGAATAGTGTATTAGATTACATTTCAAACTTTCTGAAATAGAAAATAGCTCACGAAAAATTAGAGATGCATAAATGTGTTTTGTGTAAATAATTTCTAGTTTTCTAAACGTAATGGCAAGAAAATATACAAAACTACTAAATATATTATCTATATTTCAACTGTACAAAAATCTATCTATATTCATCTTCACTATAAAATTTATTTCAAAACAGTCACCCTTGATTCTTATTGCAGCTAGGATTCTAGAAAGGTCTGATATTGATCAAGTCAGTTCATTTAATAAGTTACTGCTTATGTTATAACTGAAATTTTTTGTCTGTTTACAAAATTAAATCACTTAAGAACTATTTAAATACACTTAAATAAATTGATGTTTTTTAGCAAGGAGCTACACAATGGACAATTTGTCCGCCACAGGGAATCATACCCTAGATTTTAGTATTGGAAGTCTGTAAATTTACTATTGACCTACTGGGGAACAATAAATTAAATGGCACAAAAAAACAACAACAACATATGCACATCTATATTACTTTTCCTTTTTTAAATGAGTTAGGATATCCATAGACTAAAGCTATAAGGGTCTGAGAATTTATTTTTATACATAAGTACATACATATCATACCATTAGGTACAATGCATATCAGATAATACACAGCTAATATCAGACATTTTTCTATCACAGTTTTATTATAGAGTCAAAAATATTCTTCCAAAAATTGTCACAGGAAAATAAATTTTTAAGAGGAAAAATAGAGCAGTACAACGTTAATAATGAATATTTTAGTTTTACATTTGAGAGATGAGATTTTTATAATTGAAATATAATTTGTTTAAAAACTGAAAACAAGGTGAACCAATTACTCTCACTTATGTCTAAGTAAATATAAAAAACAAAACAAAAAACTTCATGTCCAATTACACAAACTGACACATGCATGTGGCAAAGCATGTATATCAGAACACGGATATTAAAATCATTCTCAGTAATCCCTATCAATACCTGTGTAGCAAGTAATTAATTTTCTATTCAGAATACTCATGAATAAACTGATTCCAGACATTTCTAAATAATTAAAAAAATATATGTTATCTGTAAGATGCTGTAAACCAAACCAAAACTAACAGTGATCGAAATGGTTTTATTTATCTAAAATAAACACATTTTCTGATTATGTATGTTGTAAATAAATCATTACATATATATATATATATATTTTTTTTTGTTTGTTTTTTCTGTACTTGGTGTGTACATAACTGAATACTCACCTCATGAAGCATGTTTTTCAAATGCAACAAGTTAGTTTTTAGGCTGTTTACATCTTGACAAATTAGTTTGTATGTTGGTGCCTCCAGTTTAATACTTCCTTCATCACTTTCACTAGAGGGCAAATGAGAAGAAACAGGGGGTGGTTGACTTATGGATCGCAACCTCCATCCAAGCTGTTGTTTCAGTGATGACTCATTTATTGGACTAGAGTCAACTTCAATACTTTGTACGTTTCTTTTATGGTGTCTCCTACAGTTGATTAATATAAACGGAATGTCTTCAAATATATGTACAAAAGGAACAAATTGAAAAGTATTATTATTATTATTATAAAAGAAACTAAAACAGCTATGTGCTGTAAAATAAAAATATCTACACTTTGAGCAAATTTTTCATTCTTATAAATACACAGTATCATTTTAATCATTTGGATATTTCTACACTTACATACAGCAGAAAAAAACAGTCAAATACGGAGAAAATTTTATCAAACGTTTATTCAAGTATCCTATAATAGGTACAACTTTTTACATTATACAGATGTATTAATGAATGGTGTACAAGTTAGAAATGTGTACTACATACAGTTAAATATTGTAAGTAGTGCATAACTTCCAGCTTTACATGTACATTACATAAGGAAAAAATAAGAGTAAAATGTATAGGTATTAATAATTTGTAAATCCTAAATGTATGTTAAGTTAGTGATTTAAACATGTGTATCAAAAATATCTCTTACAGAAAATATTTTTCTTGAAGGTTTAAATAAAATAATTAAGGTACATTTCTATAACCTTCAGATCTGACTTTACAGTACGAGTCTCAAGAGTTTTAAAGGTTAGACTGCTGGTCTTTTGTCAGCATTCTTACCCTCATAATTGTACATTTCTATAACCTTCAGATCTGACTTTACAGTACGAGTCTCAACAGTTTTAAAGGTTAGACTGCTGGTCTTCTGTCAACATTCTTACCCTCATAGTTGTTAGTAAGACAACATTCATGCAAATTAACAATCCATATGACACAAGTTCAGTTTCTGTGAAATGTATACTATACATTTCTAAATCCAAAGACTGGCTTTTCATAGCACTTGGATGTAAAGAAATTTTATAGTTAAAAGGTTAAGGTTAATGTTAATATTTAACATGTGCTATAGTTTTTTAATACCTACACACATAATATCTAATACACGAATTATGAACTTAAAAGCTGTGTGCCCTAAAATCTGAGAAAAGTTTAACTTTTAAAAGATTTATCAGCACATACAATTGTATTTCTGTTTATGAAATTGTTTAATATACAGAGAATATTTGTGTGTATAATGTGTGTGTGCGTGTATACCCATGCAAGCTCATCAATTTTACTGCAACAGTAGAACTCTATGTTAGAAACACATTTCATGTTTATTGATTCTAACTTTAAAACTTTTTGAAATAATATGTAACAAGTAAATTCACTCTATGCACATTATATTAACAAAAATTTCAGCGGTATGTTACTATCAATTTGTTGTAAATGTGACTGAGTGCTGTACCATATATATATGTAATTATTATTATTATTATCCAAATACTTCCTTGAGATATGAATACAATCCCACATTAATTAACCATAAGCTCATTTCAGAATTATTTATTAAGCCCTAACATTATAATATTGATAAATTAACAAAAAACTTAAAAGAATCTACAACTTATTAAATTGTTTTTTACACACTATATATAAGTACTGTTTCATAAAATCTTGCTTAACTAAGACTTCAACAAATAATATGTTAAATCCTCACATTTAGCACATCTAATTTTCCTTAAAAGATATGATATACATGTATACTTGCAAATACTGTACTTGATGTGTTAGTATATATATATCACTAAAGATTTTATATTTTACAGTATAGTACATATAAAAATCCCTAATAATCTCTGGCAGCAAATGTGTCTACTACAGTTTCAGAACCTACAAAGTGACTCATCACAATAAAGCTTGCAGACAAACACCAAACATGTCCTTCATTAATGGGTGGAGCTATATGTGTACAGTGTTAGTCATGCAATGTATATGTACATATGTATAGCAACTGACATTCTTTTTAGATATCCTTGAACATTAAAAGTATATTGTAGACCAGTAATTACACTGCTGCATAGCAGTTTACCACTGAATACAAAATGACAAAATAAATAGAGAAATAGGGTAGAAAAACATTTAGAAAAATGTACCACAAAACTATTTTCAGAGTGGCACATCTGATAAAAGGACAGAAACATTATAGGGTACAGAGTATAGAAAAAAAAGGGTACCTTTAGAAGTCAGGGAAATGGCATAGTCAGAAACATGCAATGAAAAAACAGATTCCAACAGTATGCAGTTCTGTATCAAAAAAAGACTCAAGCTCCATTCAACATAAAAAAAAATGTAAATTAAAATTATGTATGTTCTACCTTTCGATGTTTTATGCAAGAGAATTTCAAAGTAAATATTCTTTTAGGACCTTGCCCAATACTACTCATTTTATGGCATAATTTGTAAAGTTTTGACAATTGAATTGTTTTTTGGCAGTTAAAAATATATTTGGAACAAAAGAAGAGACATGTAACACCTCTAGTATCATCAGAACTGAAGACATGGATTCATACAATATTAAGTCTTAACTTGTATAGTGTGCAGTCCAACTGACAACAATGATACTTCACTTCTACAGTATACATTGTAACAGACAACAACTGAAGTACACATGTTATAACAGGAACAATATTTTTTGTCCAAAGCAGTATATTTATCACCATTTTTAATTTATACACACAGCTGCAAGATCAAGTACCACTGGTTTTTCGAGCATGGATATAATCGGGAATCAAATACACATACATCTGTAGAATTCACTCCCTAGTCTATGTTGCATGTTAGAAAGAATACATGAACATGAACAGTAAAATTTGATACATCATCCACTAAAAATCAAGATAAACAAAAATTATAAATATATCTAAATACAGTTTAAAAAAAATATCCAAAATTATGAGACAAATTATCATTATCTGATAAAGAAACCATATCCAATGTGTTACATGTATCAAAATATATCTAACCTCTGATGAGTTAAGAAAGCACCACTAAACATATTCAAATGATACACATATTCATTTAGATTATTACAATCATCTTCAAGGCAGGATTAAATTTTATTTACCTCCAATCGAGGAATCAAAAACCTGTGTACATGTATATTGATTTTCTGAGCACATAAAGACCTCAACATCCACTGACACTCATATTTATATAAAACATTTTATAATAAAACTTTCAAATAGGAGTTCTATAAACATTCCTACAAACCACTTATCTCCTTGGTTAAACAACCAATCTCACAAAAAGCTGACAAGAACTAAAGAGAATACATTAAAATATATGAGTTATATGTATGTAAAGAGGAGTGTCACCACTTGTACCTGTAAAGATGTAGTTGACTTGACTTGAATAATTTAAATTAAACTTATAGGGGCTTGAACAATCTACCTATGTTTGAATGGTAGAATAACTTAGAAACAGTAGTTTGAACATTAAGGTTAATAAGTACAAACTTTGGACATCCTGATGATGACTTTTTTTTTGACAGAAGTACATTGTGGTTCTCCAAAAGAGTTAAAACTGTATGACATTATACAAGTTGTTAACTTGTTTGGCTTCAGCTGGGCAGGAATATGAAGGACTACATATAGTTTTAAAGAATTATTTTAATCTTTACAGTTTTTTACCATCTCATTCATTCTTAAAGTTCCGGTTCATGAAATTTCAAAAACAGTATGGACAGAATAGTATACAAGGTAAGAAACCAATCTGTAGACTAGGTTTATTAGCTAGTACTAATCTCGGACAGTACTTTGATGGGGATTGCTATAAGCTACATGTCAATATTCTGATTCAGGGTGATAAAGTGATTTATCTCTTAAGGCCAGACTTAACCAGAAAAGTAATATTCCTTGTCTACTAATAGTCTGTCAATTGGATGGGGAAGGGAATAGAGATTGAGTTAGACATGATGCATTACCAGATTCTGTGAACATTATGAACTTAATAATAGCATGTGTTGTTTTAATATGGGTTTAACAACAAAGCATATCTAACAAATTAATTAGCACTATCTGTCTTCATTATAGTGTATTTCACTTTTATTTATGTTAGTTTTCATTGAAATATTCAGCTTAATTGTGTTAGGTTACTCTAAATAACTTTCCTACTCCATTCATGTTATAGGAAACTATATGTAATGCTATACATTATCCTCTAGGGATACAATGTATGTACTTCAACTATAATGGTATTTGTAGAATTTTTTAGTAAACCAAACAACCAATGCTATGAGAAAGTTACTAAATTTATCTTTGTTACTCAAATTAAAATATATATTATTCAAAGATAAATATTTCTGGTGCACTACTTCTATTTAACTTTCACTCAAACTAAGTGAGCATGCTTTTTAATTATTGTTTCAAAAGAACTCTATATTTGGTCACTAAATACTAATGATATAATTGGAGTACCAGATTTGGTATATCTAAGGCATTTTCCTCTATCATACATGAAATAACTGTTAATTTTTTTTACTCTTCCCTAGGTTTTAAACATACTAATGTTAACATTTTCCTTAACTGAAAACCTATTTCAGATACATACTTACCTCGTTGCACAATTAAGAACTATTACCTCAGGCTAAACTGCCATGGAATGTCTTGTGCATGTCACAAGTCTTGAACAAACTCTCACTTCACACCTACACGTATACAGTAATCATTGTGAGAACTTGCATTCATAAATGAATATGCCAGACAGATGAACTGATGAGCCCAACTGGTTAAATTGGAAGAGGATAAGACTCTATAGGAGTTAAGCCATGGGAAAAACAGGTAATGTTGATGTCCACAGAGAAGTTAGTCCAAGTGAAGTAGCAATGGACAGCTTTAACTAGACATAAAAGGTTATTGGGAAAGGAATGCTGCATAATGAGAAAACATAAGGAACAGAGAGAGCAGTAAAACAACTGATCACCCTCCCAGGCAGTCTAAGTCTTTGGATGAAAGGATTGGTCAGGGAACAAATCAACTGGTCCTTATTATATAGACCTGTACCACAGGTCTCCTAGAGCCCATTGTAATGGCATTTATGTAGAGAGAGAAGCCAGTCCTGAAAGACAAGATAATATCTTGTGCAAGAATAGAGTGAGAATGAAGAACTTTTGATATCAAAATCTCTAGGGCATGAAGATCCAAGGGAGATGTCTGAGCCCACCCTGTACAAAAAAATCAAGAAAACTACCACAAAGTTGTGGAAGATGTAGAGGATTGAAGTGAAGATGAAATGTGAGAGGAAAATGAGAAGGTGGAGTAAGAAAAGCAGGGATAAACCTGAAGAAAGAACTTGCACAACCCAAGGGATACTGGTGAATGGAAACTATGGATGTGCAAAGGGTTAGAGGAGGGAACCAAAGGTTCTAGAGCTAAGAATTGGCTCCAAGGAAGAGTTAACATTGAGTGTTTCAAAGATCTACCCAGCAGGAGGAAGAACACATGAAGAAGCAATGTTATGAGAAACAGGACAGGGAGAAGCCCCACAGGATTCATGAGGTCAGGCAGCCAACAGAGGTAGTGGTCTAGTGAGTAAAAGAAACCAGAGAATTGAAGGAAGATTGTTGATGAGCAACCCCAGACTGAGATTACAAGAAATTGGGAACACTCATAAAGTTTGGTGCAGTGAGAAAGGAAAGCAAGATTGAAATCAAAGAAAGAGAGGTGGAGAGGGGTGGAAGGAAATCCAAAAGGAAAACCTCCAGATGAAGGAGATCCCAAGAACAGAGAAAACAAGACAAAAAACATAAGAACACAGGCAGTGCAAAGGAAAAATTAACCTATGATCATGTGCTAGTGTGCATGGGGATTACTGCACATAGAGGTTGTATCGCCCTCCTATTGGTGAAGGGCTATAGCATTATGATGATTATGTCATAGGCTGGTGCAATATACATAGTCATGGTTATCTTAAAGAAGCTCCTACCAATTTGGACCTATGGTTGTGTCCATACAATGAGGCAGGGCAAGGTGTATTGCAAATATTTGTACAGGTTGTTATGAGCTGGGGTTCTCTCCTTTTGATATGTCATTTGGAACAGCTATTCAATACAGATAATCTAAAGATTATGGAATACTGCACCAGGGCATTTTTTGGACTTAAGAGTTCTGTATTTTTATTATTCTTGCTGTTTTGTCCTTTGCAGACATGTTTGGAAAGCCTCTTTACTGAGTTGAAGATGCAATGAGAAATATATGCCAGTCAGTTTTAAGTGTGTTAAATATGGCATTTTAATGGAAAAAAAAATTCTCATTTGTTCACTTCTGTTTTTTTTTGTTGTTGTTGTTGTCAGTGTTCAATTTATTTTTCACTTAACATTCATAAACATATGTTTTAATTTTAACTGTCAGGACAACATGGCTAAAACCAATGTGTGTGTGTGCATGTTAGATTCTCTGGTTGAACAAGTGTGGAGCCAGGATATGCACAATAGACATAATGTTATGTTCTAGTGATCACTGGCTATCATCATATGTTTTAAAAAATAATTAAGCATTACATATGAAAAATAGTGTACAAATAATACTTGAAAATATACAATTAATAGTAGATCCAGTAGACAACCACTGTATACAAACATTTTTTTTATATTTTTGTAACATATTTCAAGCACTTACCGTACAACTGTTGATTCGCTAACAAGCTTTTCATCTCCTTCCTCAACAAGTATCAGATCATCAGAAGCTAGACTAGAACATGAAGAACCTATATCTGAACAGGACTTCAGACTATCTCCAAAGTAAAATGTGCTGCTGTCCCTACATCTGCTCTGATTAGCTGCCTGGAGCTCGGTCAGTTCTGTAACTGATTGCTGTAAAGATGTCAGTCCACCTGAAAAATCCTTCTCATTTTCAAAGGCCATTAGCCCTGGCTGGTCTTCTATTTCATCATCAATAAGGAAATCTCTATTATCTGAATCACAGGTAGGACTGAAACAACCCTGATCTTCAAAAGTGCTGTCAGTGGTATCTTGTGACACTTGGCTACCTGTATTTATGTGATCATCTTCAGTTGCAGAAGCCTGAAATGGGCTTGAGCATTTTGTGATCCTGGAAACTTGTGCAAGTTGTGTGTCATCAGAATCTTTACCTTCTGATGTAACTGTAAAATCTTTGACCTGAATCCTTTTTGAAATCCCTTTATCCAACTTAGGAATGGTATATTTAGTCTTTGGAATGTTTGAATACCCACTGGATATTTGTAGTCTTTTAGTATTCTGAATTTTAGTGTCATAGGCTTTCTTCCAGGCTGCCTTAGATGTTTCGTCACTGTATTTCATAGGTGGTATTTTACGATAAGTTAAGATACCTCGAACTGATCCATAAGTTTGAGAAAAATCATTTTTGTTTGTTAAATTTAATTGCTGTAATTGTTCTTCTTTTCTTTCATACTTGAAATTTAAGGTATTTCCTTGACTTTTATTCTGTCTGGCACTGCTGGGAATACGAGAAGGAACACTGTAACCATTTTGTATGTCTTCACTCGAGTCTTGAAGTTTTATTTTGTCTGAAGATACCGATGGTTCTCTGCTTTTTCTGGAAACTGGAGAGCCTTCAAAGGAACTAAAGCGTTCAGCATCTTTTAGAGTATCAGAATCTTCTAGTCTTCCACATTCACTAAAAGCACTTCCAACTCCAGAATCTCTATCTACAAGCTGACTATTTGATAAGGAAGAAAATCTTTGGTTTCTCTCTATTTTATAATCACCAACTCGGTATAACCTTTCATCTGAATCAGTTACAACACACAAACCATCATTATGCTTTTCTTTTTTGGCAATAGAATGGTTTGGTATTTCAATCTGTGATTTCTCTAAAGGGACATGTAATTTCTCTTTATCCTGTTGATCTTGAGGTTTTCTTAAACCACTGATAAAAGATGTTAACTTGGAAGGCTTATGGGATATACGTGTGGGTAGTCCAGACTTTTTAATTAAGTTTTTCATTTCAACTTCCTTATCAATACTGGTATTCAAGTTATCTTCTACTTTATAATAATTGTTCTGGGTATTAGAGTTACTACATATTTTATCTGAAATTGGTTTGATTGTTAATTGTTCAGATTTTTCTGATACCTGTTCTTTATCTTTACTTTGGATGTTATCAAATTTAGAATTATAAGTAAATGTACTTTCCAGATTATCATTTGTGATAATTGACTGTTTCATATCACATTTAAGTAAATTAGAATTAATAGCATCTAAATTTGGCTCTAAAACATTAGCATTTGTTGGGGATAGAGATTTGTTACATTCTTTGAAACGCTGTGGGATTCCAGTAGAAGCTGATGTTGGAGATATCTTATTTCGCCCTACACACCTAACTGAACTAGATCCAAGAGCTTGGAGTTTAGAGGGTCTACTTTTTGAGGTATTAGATGAAATAGGAAGATTTTCAATGCTTCCATCACTCCTTTCTAAAGCACTATTTGATTTTGTTGACTGGGGAAGCTTACTTCCTGAAAGGGGTCGCTTGTTTGGACCAAATCCAAATGATTCAGTAACATTTCGGCTATAAGGAGAAGGTCTTATAGACCTTGGGGGGATTCCACTTTTTACAGATTCCATTGGCAGACTAGGATAATAGTGACTTTCGGTGCTTACTTTTCGGGAGTAGCATGTCCCCATCAAAATAATAAGGAATACATTTGCTACAAAGAAAAAAGAAATTATGTTCAAGAAACATGGACTTTACAGAAATAGATATAAGAAGTATAAAAAATATTAAAATATGAATTTACATGTGCATGTAGAGCTGGGCAATTAGTGGAATTTGATAATCGATTAATGACCTGGCTCATTAATCAAATACATTCGGCTAACTGATTATTCTCACATGAGACTTCAATGGCTGTAATAATCTTAATCACTACTTTTGGTTATATATTTTCGAGAGTTGTGACACTGATTCAAACAACCTTGAAGTATCCGAAAATAATATTGAACAATTATACTGGCAATATTTCGATTACTTGGTTAGTTGGAATAACTGGAAACTCTCATTTTCATTAGTTTTGTGACATTGATTTAATTGAAATTTCAATTAATTATTTTACATGACACAAATCTACATAATTTATGCTCAAAGGTAATCGATTATATCAATTGAGTGAATTGATCAGCTCTCTATATACTTGTGGCCATCTACATATAAAATGTTATACTTTATACATTACTTACAAACATACTACAAGTAATAAAAATAAAATTGAATGGTATAATCTACATTTTACATTACTTTTTATCCATATAGTAATAAAATATTGTGAACATCTATAAATGTCTTGTTATATAAATAAAAATGGAATAATGATGTCCAAGCAGATGAATGATTATGCAAATATTCATCTGAATTTTTTGTAACTCGATTCATTTTAAATATTTTAGACACAACACATTTTATACGGTAGTAGCATTATGATCTTCAAGTTTTCTAGTTGAAGCATCTCGTACAGGAAAATCTTAAAATACTAGTACTGGGTCTTGAAAAGCAAGTTCAGATGGATAGAAAGATTACAATAACAAATATTCAATCTCCATAAAAGTATCTCTTATATTAATCATTAGTAATGGTCTAGAAAACAACTGAACTCAGCAGAAAAATCTGAAAAACAGGATAAAAAGTAGCTTTCCAATTGAAACCAAAGTGGAATTCTATGCAAGACACAATCACTATGAACTAAGGTAAATAAACAAGGATTAGTGTTATTTTCTCAACACCTGTTTCAAGATTACACATTTGTTAACTTAAAATGACACAAGACCACACAAACACAAGGACAAACACTTGGCTGACCACATTCTTTCAAAATGTGATTCTTACAGTTTTGGGAGGTAAGGCAAAATAGATCTCTGACACGTTTATAGTTTGTCACTTCAGATATATTGTAGCATAACTAAACTGTTGTAAAGACATGACCAGAGAAGTATAAAGAAACTTGTGGACATACTATATTGTTAAGGTTGTAATTTGTTATATGTACAAGTATCAGGACAGAAATAGTTAAAGATCAATCTAAAACATATTTATGGATAATAAAATTCATGTTTCAACAGCTTATATACAGAAATAGTTTCATTTAAGGCTAATCTGGAGCAAAAAAGATAAAAGTAGATCCATTAAAAAAAACACAAATCTGTAAAACTTCAAGAAAATAACCCCTAAATCAGTGAAAAAAACTGTTAATACATATTTTTATTCTCTAAATGACAGAAGATTAGAAAATTTCAAGTTCTGAGAATACCCTATTTTGAAAACATTATACTTATTCTTGAAATTATAAATTATAAATACACAAGTAAAGCAATTGTAGAGAAATTGTCTGGAATAATTTGACCATACAGCAAAATTAATTTAAATTGGTTTGAACCATAAGTTGTTTTATCTGTGAAATGTTGATATACTTCTGTATTTTATAAGTGAAGATATACCTGATTTTTATTTTAAACAATGGTCAAGCATTCTCATGTGTTCTTAACTAAGGTTAAAATTGATGTCGAAAATATGTTTGAGTCTGCCATACAAATCAATGTAGATCAGGAATAATATTTGGATATACTTAAAGTCTATGATTTAGAATTACATTAAAAATCAAACAGATATAAGAACTTACACTGATACTGTAACTCAGAACTTTACTTTGCAACATTAGGTTTTGTAAGCAGGAAAGAAATATATAATGTGATATATATGTGTGTGTGTGTGTGTTATGGTACTGTACGAGCCCTACTTTCCAAAAATAAAGCAGGGTATACGAGAAAGGAGAGAACTTTCTTATACTAGCCCATATATTTACTTGCATATTAGTAATCCATTATCCAATCTGTTAATGCACTTTCAATTTATACATTTCTGAAGAAGTGATGAATGAGTTGTTTATGATACATTTACTATCAAATAAGAAGGGTCAACTGCTAGTGATTGGAATTATCTAGCACAAAATAAACAGCTAAACATTCAACTGCTTTATATTACAAAAACCTGGTAAAACTGGTCCATCTGTTCAAAATGCTAGGGTTTTGCTCTTCTTTAATGTAACTTACAAACTGCTTCGTAAATACTACTTAACAACCAATACAATTTTCCTACCAATGTACTCCAAAATTAATCATACTGTCTAATGCTTAACAATAAGTAAACTGTGTGTAAGGCACTGAATTAAAACAGTAAGTTTATTTAATGACCATTTGACACACACCCAATTTAGACTCCTATAACGAACCAGCTTGAGTAAATGTAGACTAAACACACACATATTTTTTATAAGTGGATATCTTCAAATGCTAATGTATCAATTTAAAACTGTGTACAATCTACATACATGATATAGTGAACATCTGTAGTTGCAAATACATTTTCCTTTAATATAATGGTTAGATAATTTCATGCTTCTTGACTATTCCAACACAAAAAACAATACCTCAGGCTATAACGATAACAATGCAGAGTTACTGTAGCAAGATATTTTTTTTATATCTGTTGAGATATTACTCACAGCTAACTAATGACTTCATTTCTCAGTTTATTGAGAGTTTTAATTATATATTGATTAATGTATTTCATTTATTGTTTCAATAGCATCTAGTACTGAAAAGAATTAGAATAAACATTACAATGTGACAGTAATAACAGGGGACAAAAGAGGTTGGTGGATTTGATTAGCAGTTTCTGCTAATTAATATTGAATGATTAGTAATTAACAAATATTGCTTAGCATCATTTTAGCACATTATGGCAACTAAATCCAGCACTAAAAGTCTTAACTCTTTGTAAAGACATCCATTAATGAAAAAAAATAGGTAAATCATATGCTTTTATTCTAATAACACTTTTATTCAGCTTCAAACCCTAATATTTAATTGTACAATACACGGCATTTCATGAACAAAATAGTTCCTGGTATATAAAGTAAAACTTCAAAACTACAAGAAATACCTGTACCAAAATAATACAACAATTGATTAACCAGAGAAAGAAGTGTCTTGAAGATATTGCAACTGAACAAGGTTGCCACAAATCCTTTTTCATATTAATCTAATTTATTTCATTTATTTGGTGGGACCTCATCACCCTCTTCACAATTTGGTATCCTTGGCTTCTTGATGAAGAAAATGTCTAGTGACTTTTCAGCAGTAATTACCTTTCTCGCCATTGTCATCATTTACTGCTCATATCAGGAGGTTTTTAGTGAGTTGCATTTGAAATGTAATTAAACTACTTTTTGTTTATTCATGTTATACCGATAAGAATAGCATAAAATTATAGCTAATAATCCACATTTTAATAGCATACAAGTTTTAAGTTCTTAATTTTATAAGGGAATATTAAAAAAAAGATCCTGAATTTTTCTCTAGTGTGAGAAATGTGACATTTTTTCTCTAGGCATCCCCTCTTCTCTAATTTATTTATCACCCCTCAAAGAAGTATGAAATTTAACATAAATTATTTTTTATAATATTGACATCTCTCGGATAAAGCATAATATTCATAGCTTTCAATTTTGTTTGGTTACAGAGCCATCAAACAGAAAATCAGACCCTTCTTTCCACACCCACCTGTCACATCCTCTCTTTCAGGATTTTTCAATAGTTCTTTCTTACGTTTAATACTATATTATTTTTAACCAATAGAAAGCCAAGATTTTCATTTATCAAGTGACATATTATATTACATTGTTTTCTGTACAGAAAAATGTTAATTTCTCTTTCAGTACAAGCTTCATTCCCATGGGAAACTCATCAACTATCTTGGATGAATTTGTAATGGCTCTTGTTGCAAAACTAGAAAGCCAGAAAAATTGTGATAGTAAAGGGACATTGTCTGCTTGTTGCATGTTATTATTCTATGTTCTTTGGTACATTATTTAATTAAATAAAAATTATTTAGTGCACAACTACCATTAGTATAAAAAGTAGGGTTAAATGTCATCAACAGTAAATAAAAAGAAGGCCCAGGTAAGTACTTTATTTCTTGTTTTTCATGTGTATTTTTTATTTTGACATGAAGAAAATAATTTTTAATCTTAACATGAAAATCATTTTGTACTCAGACTGATAAAAAAAAAAGACTCGATATATTCACAGACAAGTGGAAAACAGCAAACAAGAAAAAGGAATGATTTCCACATTATGTTAAGCAAATAGGAAAGTGATTTGCAACTGGGGTTGTTTTGATTCACAAATTGTGATGCAAAACTGGATAATTTGTCCCCCGAGTTACAATAATACCATACTTTCCCAAGAACTTTTTGCTAGCTAAAAAAGTAGGTAACAGATGTCTTTCCAGTCATATCAGCAAGCTCTTAACAGCATCTGAGATTCACTGAGAAAAAATAGTGTTACATAAAAAAATTATACAACACATGGCTACTTTCAGGGTCTAAGCAAAAATGAATACCTGAGGAACAGGGAAAATCATGGGAGAAAAAATTCCATCACCCCTCCTAGCAACCAAGTTTGGGAAACAAAAACAAGAGGGTATCTCTTTTTAATGACTACAAAAGTCGAACATCTGAGCAATGAAAAAAAGATCTGAAAAACACAGTGTTGGTTAAGAAACAATATAGTGCACGGATCAGGCCTAAAAACCTCTTGAAGTCTAAGCAGAAATGAACATCTGAGAAAAGGAAAAATTATGAGAGAAAATATCCAATCACTTTTTCCAGCTACCAAATTCATTGAAAGAAATGAAAGAGTAAGGAATAAAATATTTTACTTTACAAAACAAAACATGTAGTACATGAATGCACATGACACCTAAATGTAACATAGAAATAAAACGAAAAATGATGTTACTTTTGATTTCAACACAGTATACGAGTTTTAAATAGAGGCAAAGTCAGAATCTTTCAAAGTAAAATACAGTAACAACCAAACTGGGAAACAATTATAAAAAGAAGGAAGCAAAAGCCTAAAGAATTTCATAAAAAAAAGTAAGAGCGTATTTCAGGTGAAAGGAATGGGAAGGACATATGATTTTCTAAAAAACCTGCCAACTGTAAATACACATACATGTAGCAACAGTGCTGATTTAGATCTGTACTAATGCAGTGAAGCATTTGCACATCTTATACTATTTTCAAATGCCTCAAGAAATGAGAAATATAATTTTATAAAAGTCCATGTTAGTTGGGTTTACTGGTGTAAATTAGAAGTAACACATGGTATTGTTGCAAAGTTTTCACATAATAAAACTATCCACTTTCCTGAAGTTATGGCATGAATAGTTAAATACTTGGTATTGTATAAATAGTATATTGTACTTCAGATTTAGTAACACATGCTTCCTTTTTTGCAGTACTGCAGTATCTGGATATCAAAATTATTTTGGGCTTACTTTGAAGTCACCTGTACTTTTTTTCTCTTCATGTGAACAAAACTTTATAGTAGAGGCAATAACCTCAAATGTAACTTTTGCCAGTTGGCACACGTAACATAGGTTTACAACCATGGGGCAATCAAGAAAAGTATATATAAGATTCTGTAATCTGAAAATATAGTATGTCCAAGCCAGTATTAACTTGGCATATCATAATTGGATTATTCACATAAGGATTTATTTAAACTTTCTGCTATTTTCATGAGCTTACAAAACGTATGCTTTTTCAAGACTCCACAAACCCCCCTGAAAGCATGTACACAAAGTTGCAAAGTTTTTAGAGATACATTATCTTAGTCATTATAAATAGGGTAATAGGAAATGGTACAGAGGTGTTGAAGTCCATAAAATTTGCCTATGTAACTACTGGTCAATACTTTTACAAGTTATTTATTAACAGCAAGTAGCATTCCTTTGAACACTTTTTTGTAAAGTGAACATGAACTTCCCCCCTCCCTCAGCATATGTTTTGCATGTTAGTGAAAATGCAAAAAATTGTGCATGACCCCTAAAATAAAGTAAAATTTGGATAAAGATCACACTGCTAAAACTATGAGAAAATAAAGATATTGCTCTAGGTTATCTTTGAAGTACCCATTAAAATCTCACTTGAGAAGGAAGGAAAAATACCTTTACAGAGTGTACCAAATCACAGTTTTTTATTATTCTAAATGCATCTACATGTATTAGAATGAGCATAGGTTTGATTTACTTCCCAATATACAGTATGGATTTGTGACATTGTATCTGTACTTCTAACAGATTGTTAGATAAAAATGACAATTTATAAGTTACCATTTAGTTGCAATCAATACGGTTAAATTTTATTTTTCACCATGAATGAACATGGAAAGATCATTTATTGTACATGATGTACAAGGTGACACATTATTCATGCATAAATTGTTTAAAAGAAAAGTGAAAACATCATAAAACTGATTAAAGCAAGACTTTAACATAACATATACAGACAACAATGGACCTGATGGCCCAGTTATGCTGTACTCTCAATTAAACTATTAAAAAATATTCAAAGTCAGCCTTTATCATTCAAATATTTATCAAGCCTGCCTTTAAATTTACTGCTTCCATCACATCTGAAGACTACCCATTCCAAAGAGCAACCACCCTATTAGGAACATAAAACTGTCTTAGCTGAAAATGACAACATTGTGCAAATATTTATATTTGTGTCCCCTAGTCCTACTATTCTACCATTAAGTAAGAAAAATGATGACACATCAACACTATCAATTCCCTTTACAATCTTAAACACTTCAATCAGATTCCCCATAACTCTTCTTTTTTCATATCTGTATTACTAAACAGTTATGTGTAATAAGCCTCTTACTGGAAATCCACAAGAAGATTTCCTATGATAATGAACTAATGGCTAGTGTCAAGCCTCCTTAAAAATATAATTTTAAAACCTAAACAGTGCTGATTCATTACTGCCAGTATTAAAACTATTATCTTTTATTTTCAGCAAAGTTTTTGGGCACTTTATGAAATATGGAAAAACAGCCTGCCATCCTTTTTTTCTTCTATACTTAAGAATTAGAAAACAAGAGCTTACCCTAACCCGCAACTATTAGACATATAATTTTACCATACGGGTCTAATAAAGTGCTTGAAATTCACCATTTCACTAATTTACTGACTAAGCAACACTACATGGCATACCCTCTTAGAGAGTTAGTATGTTACCTGTAAATTAATATCACATTTATCCCACATAAGTTTAATGTTCAATGGCAAGCAGTGAGACATTTATAATAACTACAGCAGAGGAAGTAAATTGTAACCAAGTATGATATCCAATTATGTTAATAAATACCAAATCAAACAATTTCTTAAGTAACCTTAACTATATATTAAAGTATTAATACTTCTTATAATGTATTTAATATGCTGACAGAGGCATCGTGAAATTCTGTGCCATGTATTCATGCTCATAGTCAGCACACTTGTAAAATGGTAAATTTTAAACAGTTCAGGGTATAAGTACCTATCTAAATGTTCACTTACTGGTAAAGGTCTTTAGTCTAATTGTTAAACTAGGTTTGTTTAAAATTATGTATATGGACAATAAAAGTCTCACATAGTAGTGTGGAATACAAATTCTAAGTAGAATTCAAAATAGTGATAATCCCTAATGAAGTAAATTATATGATCAAATGCTGGTGCTTAGGCCTATGGCATTAATTATTGCTATTAGTAATTTTCAATTATTTTACTTCTCTTTGCAGCCAAATCCCATTCTGCCCTTTGCTTGTACTGAGAATAAACATTTAATGCTCTAAAAGAATAACTTAGGCTTATAACAATGCTAATGGTGTAAGTTATTTTTTGTTCACTCCCTTCGGGTATGTTGGCCATGTCAATAGTATAGTTCACTTCCATCCTACTATCTTTAGAATTAGGAAGAATAGGGAATAATTTGGTATATAGCAGTGCCAGATAAGACAGGAGTTAATGACACATTATAATTATGCCTAGTTTAGTCTAGGAATAGGACAGAAACCTGGAAGTACTTATTTATTTCTTGAGTAGATTGTAAAAAAGTATATGTAATCCGTACTAATATTGGACTGCATCCATCTTGTACATAAAGAATAATTGAAAGATTAATAGAAGGATTCTTAAAAAAAACATAATATTTATTAAAATGTTCACAAGTTAAACAGAATATACGATTCAAAAATGTCTGATCCAAACTTTATCAAACAACACAACTGAACTTCAAAGTTCTAATCCAACAATATAACCTTGACATGAGTTTGGAAAAAAACTGACATCATAAATTACCATAAGATCTAAAAAATAATACAACACTTTCAAATTATCTGATTAACTATAATTTACAATTGTTATAATATAAGCTCTAACCAAGTTTCAAGAAATACCCAATCTACAATTACACATTCTTGAGAGTTTGGCTTAGAGTTAGACAGTCTTCAGTTTTCTTTAAGTTGTTACCATTATACCAGATGATGATGATAACACAATTCAACATAAGATAATATGGGTTATTCACTTACTTACAAAACACATGCTCAATTATTTTATATATGACAACCAACATATTAACATGCCTATAGTTAAAATTAAAGTGCCAAAGGCCTCAGAATCACTCAGAGTCAGTTATTTGTCTCAAACTTGATTTTAACACTAACAGTACCACTGGCAGTAACAGGGTGTGACCTGGCATCATGTATACACAAATTTAAGAGGCATCCCAGCTAAATGAAGGAAGGAACGTAAAACATAAGGACAATAATATCAAATATTTATATTATAACAATAATTAACAACATATGAAGTAATACTAGTAATCGTAATACCGCCTCACAATATAATAATACTAATAGTAAGAATATTTCAGTATTTGCTTTACTATACTTAGGAGACCAAGTATAATACTATATTAATAGTAATAACAAATATTAAAGTAATTGCTAAAACTAAATTTGCGTTAGGGTTATGTAACTTAATATATATATATATATATATATATACACATTTATTTAAGGTTTTTGACTTGAACCGTTGAAGTTGATGCGCTCTTTGACTTTGAGTTGACTCTGCATAAAGGGACTAACTTCACTAAGTTAAGAAATCTCTATTTACACATATATACCTCTAAGGCAAAATTAAACACGTTAATTATCAACTCACTTTCTCAGTTTTGGGAGTGTTTTCCAAAGCCTTCAATATTAGTTAAGGGTATTAAGTACCAATTTTTAATATAATCAATGTTTACCACAGCATCTTTGCCAATAAGTATCACCCACTTCTATCGATTTTTCAACGCCCTCTTTTATCAACGTAGATTTTATGGCAAGTAAAAATAACTTATCTTTCTATAACATTAACAAAAGAAAATAACATATAAAACAAAACACTTAAAAAAGTAAAAATTATTAAACCTAATTGGAAATACAGACTACAATTTTAATGCAAATTTGAACCTAGTTAGTCTGTACAAATGTGATGAACTTAAGAAGATGTAAATCGAAATGTTGAGTGTCTAATTAAATATAAACAACATTTTGGTGTTATAAGGTCGTTTATTTCTAGTATTAACATATGTTCTATACACCAGTATGCACTACAGAAATTAAAAAAGTGTGATGAACTACCTTACGTAGTTACCAGCGGAAAAGAAATGGTAGCAGCAATATTTTGTTTGTTTGTAGTTAAGCTCAAAGCTACTCATTTGGCTATCTGCACTGTGCTAACCACGGGTATCAAAGCCCGGTTTATAGTGTTATAAGTTGTGAGATAGCGAATTCTACTTTTATTTTGTTACGGTTTTGTTCACCGTTTACTTGTTATTCTGTCTATCATTTAGTCCAACTATGAATGTTTAGTTATATTAAAGCACTAACTCACCTTTTAGCTAGAGCATGTTTAATTTGAGTACAATAATGGCTGGAGACGGCTTGAATGGGTAATGATGAAAAACTTTAATATAACAGCAAATATACAACGTTTCGACAAGGTTTTTCATCATTACCCATTCAAGCCGTCTCCAGCCATTATTAGTCTCAAAGTGTGTTCCTCGTCATCGAATTTTAATTTGAGTACGTTTGTACGTACCAAGACACGGTTCGGCGGCCATACCGATCGCATATATTTTAACCAGCATGTGGCTTTTGCCAAGGCATCGTGAAGGTGCTTAAATACTCATCTTTATGCCTTCAAATCACTTTGTTATGTTAAATTATTCGAAAAATTTTGTAGTTTTAAGTTAACTTTATGTAATCGTTATGATAAAAGAGCATTGAGGCCAATAATCACCAGTTACATTTTAGTATCACCCAATAATTATAGGCCTATTAGTCTTACATCAGTCGTGGGAAAAGTTTTGGAAAGTCTGATAAAAGATGCTTTGAAAAGTAATTTAATAATGTTTAGAATATTATTGGATAGTCAACACAGTTTCTCTAAAGGAAAGCCTTGCCTTACAAATCTTTTCACATTCTTTGAAAAAATTACTGCTTATGTAGATGAGGGTAAGGGTGTAGATTTTGTGTATCTGGATTTTCAAATAGCGATTGACAAGGTGTCATATAAAAGGCTTGTAAAAAGACTATCTCTATAGATAGCTAATTGGATAGAAGTGTAGGTGGATGGAAAAAACAGAGGGTTGTAATAAATGGACTTCAGTCATACTGGATTAATGTCACAAGTGGAGTACCTCAGGACTCGGTCTTAGGATCTTAGCTCTTTTTAACTTGCTTCAATGACATAGATGAAGGAAAGGCCAGTAAATTATTTAAATTTGCTGATTATATATAGGTAGTTGGTGTTGCTAGCTGTGAAGAGGATCCTGCTGCTTTATAAAATGATTTAGATCATTTAGTGAGTTGGGTGAATAAATGGCTAATGGATTTTAATTATAATAAATTCAAGATAATGCATGTCAGTTATCATAATTTGAATTATTAGTATAATTTAGATGGGAATATAAAGAGAAATGGCAGCTTAAAGTTATATGGAATATGCTTGTTCATATACAGCCAGACGTAAAGTTTAGAGCTGGTTGTTAACTATAATATAGGGCTAAAAAACTTATATTATCGCCCACAGGGCTGTAGTTATCCCACTTATTTTCCTCTTAAAAGACACGAGTGCAATATCAAACCTTACTTTTGAAAGGAGTGAGGTTTGATAAGTTATATTTGTGTGTGGATCTCTATATTTAACCGCCTGATGAATTATGTAATTGCTGTGGTTAGGGGTAAAATGAATGAAGAGAATCTGCTTTGTTTATTCGTCAAAATGCTTAGCCTTGTTCTCGCGACGACCTTGACACACCATATAAGGAACATCGTGTTCTGGTGTATTATAAAACTGAAACAAGCTTCCCCCTAGCAGTGACGTACAAATGTGAATGTTGTGAAATATTATGCAAATTGGCTAGTCACATGAGATGTTACTTCGTGGTCTAACCACTAAATAAAAACCCTTCTTTGATCTTAATCGATTAGTTCGTGAGATATGGGTAGAACGAATTATCATTGATTATCGCTCGATATTGTTATTGATCTTGAGATGCTGTTAATTTTGGAATATTGTGTTTTTTAGGAATTGTTTTTTTCTTCTTCTTCTTCTGGTTCTTATTCCTAATTCCTTTGTTTATTGAAATTAATAACATTCATATTTATGTTATATTATTTATTAACATTTATATCAGGTCCTAGCTAGCCACGGATTTACTAACTGTTATTGTTTTTTATTGTTCTTGTTGTTTTGTAATGATAAAAACTTGTATTCCAATTGTTTGAAAGTTTTATTTTGCACTTATTTTGCTGTTACAGTTTATAAAATTGTTTTTTTTTATATGAATCTGGTTGTAGCTGTGTTTTATTTTAGTCGTTACAAGTTCGCAGACTTACAGCTATGCCCCTAGAAGGCAGAAGCAATAGTACATATATTATAAAATAAACAAAGACTGAAGAAGATCTGTGTTGTCAAATTATGGGTAACATTTAAATTAATGTTCATTTCACACAAAGCTTCATACAAATCTATAGCTAATTATTTTTTATTACCTGCTCATGAAAAACTGCTATGGTATAAAGTATTTTCTTTTGTCTTGAAATGTCATCTTTGTTTAATGTCATTTGCTGAAAGTAACTTTAATTTTCTTTACGCCAATTAAAAATCTAACTTGATATAAGTACTGGGTCCTCTGATCTTCTGTGCTGGGTCTTCTGCTGTTTGTGATTTATATTAATGATATTGATTCTGGAATGACTAACAAAATTTTGAAGTTTGCAAATGACATTAAGATTTTTGGGATGGTTAACTGTATTAAAGATGCTGCAGACTTACAGGGAGATTTAGATCATTTGATACACTGGGCCAATACGTGGCAGATGATGTTTAACTATCCAAAATGTACGGTGATGCGTGTCGGTTTTCAAAATCAAATTACTGTTACAATTTAAATGTGAATACATTGAATACTGTGGTTAAAGAAAATGATCTTGGTGTTGTGATCGTAAAATCACTTAAGTCATTTAAACAGTGTATTGTAACTAACATAAGGGCTAGTAGGATTTTGGATAGTATCTATAGAAATATTGAATACAGGACAAGGAATCTTTTTGTTTCACTACATAGATCACTTGTAAGACCTCATTTAGAGTACTGTGCGCATTTTTGGGCTCCCTTCCTCATGGAGGACATTGAATTGTTCGAGAAGGTTCAGAGAAGAGCCACTAGGATGATACCTGGGTTGGTGGGATTGTCCTATGAGGAGAGAATAAAATCTCTAAACTTGTTTTCTCTGGAGAGGAGAAGGGTCAGAGGGGATTTGACTGAAGTGTTTAAGATTATTAAGGGTATTGATAATATAAATCCATCAAACTTTTTTTTGTGTGTTTAGCAGTGAAAGCAACAGGACAAGGGGTCAAATTCAAATTTTGACAGCGTAGGAGTCGTCTGCAGTTTAAACAGTATTACTTTTCAAACAGGGTGGTTGGCTTTTGGAATGAGCTGTCTTAAAGGGTGGTGGAGGCAGAAAATTTAATTAATCAAGAAAAAAATTGGATGAATACATGAGTAGTAAGGGGTGATTATAGTTGGGAGTTGGAAGGGACATCCTTGATGGGCTAATAAGCTCCTTTTTGTCCCTTCAAAAGTTTATGAATTTACGAATATATCATTATTGACAAAAGTAACACTATTACAGTAACACATTATCCAAAACTCTGTTTATAGGTTACCCAACGTTTAGCTCTAATTGTAAAAGAAAGTAAAACAAGGTTCGGACAAAAAAGGCACTCTGTGATATTTACATTACAGGAACATCTCTGACAGGACATTAGCATTACATACGTTATCTGATTTTTAAGATAGTATTATAGATATTTATGTAACAATAGATCATATAAATTTTTAGACATATAATGACATAACAGTTTGTAGATTATTTTAATTGGAACATTTTAGGAAATTTCTTTTTGAATATCATATATAACATCAATTAAAGAATATTCATTGTACGTTCTTAATGTTTTGAAGTTAAAAATATCAATGTTATGTCAACGGTAGAAAATGCATTTTCTTATTAAAAAACAAACAAACGTTATTTTATTATATGTATACATATATATTTTAGAATTGAATAAAATAATAATAATAATTATTATTATAGTTAATGAGAAGCTGTCATAATGCGGTCCTGTCGGGGAAACTTCGCGGCATCTTTCTTATCTGAGACTAATCAAGCTAAACACTATAAAATGTCGCCTATGAGCTAATTTTGGTGATTGAATTAAAGTAAACAATTAACATGTATATATATTAGAAATAAAAAACAATGTCTTATACACGTTCTAAGAAAACCTATACGAAACAATGAGGAAATGATACTGCATATCATTACCCTGTTTTTGAATTGAGAAGTTCATTGAACATTTTTCACAGTTATTACATTTAACAATTTTTTGACTTGGCTAGGAACCAAACCTGTCAAAGGACTTCATAATAATAGAGTGAAGGAGTCTTTTGTGGTACATTATCACCGTTATTGAGACTCTTGCGAACTCTACAGCTTTGTCTTCAGGTTCCAAGTCCTTGGAGATCCATTATATATATTGGTTTTGGAAGTTACATCTCTGGCAGTTTTTGTTTTTCATTTTTGCATTAGTAATGTTTATTAAATTTAGCTAGTTTTTGAGCTAACTAATCATTCGTATTTTCACTGCTGCTCATAGTGTAAAAATATTCAGCTTGACAATAATAAAGTACCTGATACATATGATCTTATTTATCATTAAAAACTA